GAGGTTCTTCCTCTATTTTACCATGAATGATGTCCTTCTCCAGGGACTGGTCCCTCCTGATAACATGTCCAAAGTATGTGAGATGAAGTCTCGCCATCTTCTCTCCTAAGGAGCATTCTGGCTGTACTTCTTCCAAGACAGGTTTGTTTGTTCTTCTGGCAGTCCATGGTATATTCAATATTCTTCGCCAACACCATGATTCAAAAGCATCGATTCTTCTTCGGTCTTCCTTATTCACTGTCCAGCTTTTGCATGCACACGAGGCGACTGAAAATATCATAATACTTGCGTGTGATATTAATATTGTTTAATAATTACCACATTCCATTGGATCACTTTACTTTGGAATGGGCACGTATATGGATCTCTTCCAGTGAGTTGGATCCACAGTGTGCAAAAGCCCATGAGCCTTGCCAGAATGTCCACGTATATTCGATGCAGGCCACACATCCAAGGAAACTCCCTTTCAACTGATTGGCTACTCACAGCAGATCCCATCATGGAGGTGATCACATTATATCAAATCTCATCATGGAAGTGATTACATCATATGACTGCCAAATCACTGAGAATCATGGCCCAGCCAAGTTGACACACAACCTTAACTATCACATGCCTCAACACATTTCCAATCACCCCCTAGGGGAGCAGTTCCATCCCACTTGAGAACCACAGATAGAGATTATCATAATTTATTTAAACAGCCTTCCACTGATGAACATTTAGACTGTTTCCAAACTTTCACTATTTTCAGCATTGTTGTTGTTGTTATTAGGTGCTGTCAAATTGGTTCCGACTCTCAGCAACCCTATGTACAACAGAACATAACAGTGCCCAGTCCTGCACCATCCTCACAATCACTGCTATGTTTGAGCCTGTTGTTGCAGCCACTGATCGGACAATGTTCCACTGCTATTCATAAGGTTTTCACTGGCCAAGTTTTTAAGAAGTAGACTGCTAGGTCCTTCTTCCTAGTCTGTCTTGGTCTCGAAACCTGTCCACCATGGGTGACCCTGCTGGTATTTGAAATACTAGTGGCATAGCTTTCAGCATCACAACACAAAAGTCACCACAGTATGACGAACTGACAGATAAGTGGTAGATTTCCAGCATTACTCCAATAAACATTCATTTACAAATTTTTTACTGCTACCAGCAATATATGACAATGCCTTTTTCTCACCTCCTTCACAATACAGGAGTCCCTGGGTGGTGCGAGCTGTTAATTGGCATGGCTGCTAACTGAAAGGTTGGAGGTTTGAGTTCACCCAGAGGCACCTTGGAAGAAAGGTTTGGCAATCTACTTCCAAAAAATCCGCTGCTGAAAACTCTACGGAGCATAGTTCTACTCTGACACAGACAGGGTCGCCATGAGTTGGAATTGACTTGACGGCAACTGATTTTCCCAACAAACAAAACCCGTTTCCGTCGAGTCGATTCTGACTCATAGCAATCCTATAGGACAGACTGGAACTGCCTCATAGAGTTTTCAAGGCTGTAATTTTTACGGAAGCAGACTGCCACATCTTTGTCCCATGGAGTGGCTGGTGGGTTCGAACCACTGACCTTTTGGTTAGTAGCCAAGCACTTAACCACTGCGCCACCAGGGCTCCTTGTTTTCCCAATACAGGATGTTATTATTCTTTTTAATCTTTGCCAAATTAACAGGACAAAAAAAGGATATATATATTTTTTGTTTTCCATTGTATTTCTTAAATAGTAACTGAGGTTTATCATCTTTTGCGTATTTATATGTTATTTGTGTTTCTTCTAATGTGAATTACTTTTCCATGTACTTTGCTCATTTTCTATTATTTTTAAAATGTTATCTCAATCTATAACATATGTTTTAAATACTTTATCCTAGTTTCTCATTATGCCAAGTGAAATAACTCAATTACTAAAGGACAAATATTGTATGATCTCACCAATATGAAGTACATAAAATAGACAAATATATAGAGACCACAGTTTAATAGTGGTTACTAGGGACAGGATGGAAGGGGAATGAGGGGAAATATTATTTAATGAGTTTGTTTATGGGGATGGAATATCTGGCAAAAGATACTGGTAATGGTTGCCCAACATCACTGATGTAATTGATGTCACTGAATTGTATATGAGAAAAATGTTGAATTAGCAAGTGTGATGCTGTTTATATTTTGACAACAATAAAAATAAAGGAATAAATAAAACACGTTATATAAGACATAACTATAAATATATAAATAATTTAAATGTATAGTATGTAAATATATAAAGTAATATGCATATATACTACATAACTGAGTAAGTTGTTATAATATATAAAAGGATACACACACACACAATGTAAGTACACGTACCTCAATACAATTATCTTTTCTGGGTAGAGGAACTATAGGTAATTTATATCTTCTTATACTTTTCTGCATTTCCAGATATTTTCTAGTAGAAATTTCAGAGAAGAGGTAAAAATAGCATAGACCATTCAGTTTAAACATACTTATCTTTACTTGAGACAGGGAAAAACCACCTAACCATATTTTGCTCCTTGTGTCACTTCAATCCCCGGGAAGAGCTTGATACTTGTATCAGTCCAGTGTGAGGCAGGACTGAGGTATTCCTCTCCCACAAATCCAGCCTTTTCTCATCCCCCACCCCCAACCAAATTCTCTCTTTGCCTCTTTTTTGTTAGCTTGGTGACACAGTAGTTAAGCACTTGGCTGCTAACTGAAAGGTCAGCAGTTCGAACCCACCAGTTGCTCTGAGGGAGAAAGATGTGGCAATCTGCTTCTGTAAAGATTACAGCCTTGCAAACCTATGGGGCAGTTCTACCCTGTCCTATAGAATCGCTATGAGTCAGAATCGACTTGACAGCAATCGGTTTTGGTTTTTAGATGTTCAACCTGCGGTTCTAGCTCTGATCACCAAGTGGCACTTGCCTCTATTTTATAAATATTCTCCAAAACAGGTATTGTCTTGGTAAAGTGGAGGTGAAAAATAAAGTTAATTTCTATACACAGATTATGAAGCAGTGAGTTCATTAGAATCCCGATTCTGTTTGAAAAATACATAATCATAGAAAAGAATAGAAGGATATACAATTGGATTCTACATTCATTCATTTAATTTGCATATATTCATAGGGTACCTACTATGTGCCAGGTGCCATCAGCCACAATCCATTTTTCCATCCCAATCTCTTTCCTGAATTCAACACTTATATCCAACTGCCTAATGGGCATTCCCACCTGGAGCAAGATAATAATGTGAAAACTCCTGTTTGCACAAATCAATAAGATACCATACTCAAGCCTAAACCAATTATTCCTAAGCCCAGGAAAGCTACCATCTAAATTAGAAGCAGTGTGGTAGAGTAGGGGAGAACATGGGGTTTGATGCTGATAATTCTGAGTTACAACACAGGATCTGCCTCTTATTATCTGTATAATTTTACTCCTCATTTGTAAAAATAACTTAGTTTAGGTTAGTATTTTTGAATGGGGAGGGGGGAGTCTCTGGAAGTTTTACAAGGCCTCTGAGCCTGATCCCTTCCACACTGCCTCTCTAGAAGGGCTTCCAGCCTTAAGCACTGTCTCCTAAGAGCCTGGGGATGACGGTTAACAGAGGACTCTCTCTCCAGGGCCCTAGACCCACAATGCTTTCTGTTCTGGAACTGGCCAGGCAAGTTTACTGCCTGGACATGTGATAAAGATAGTCTCCTCTTTAATTTATACACATTGAACATGCCAGCAGAATTCATAAGACATCCCTGTTAGAAGCCCCTTGGAGAGAACTCACCCTAAGGCAAGTCAGGCGATTAAAACCAGATATCCTTGAGCAGAGAGGTGGTGAGGGACTTCAGTGGACTCTAAGGGGCAGCCCATTCTCTTTCAACCCCAAGTTATATGGTCAGACCTAGTTCAGACAACTGCTTGGTAAGGACTATCACAACCAATGTTTCCAGTTAGGAAGCTTTGGAGCTTCATCTCATCCCCTACAGAAACTTCCCCAAGAGAAAGGGAAAAGGAGGGAAAGGCTCCTACCTGCAGTGGGGACAGTCCTTCTTCTCCAGGTATGTCTGTCCAGGTCAGCCTGGCCATCGGCCTAGGTGGGCCTGGTGCCTGCTGCAGGCTGGAGCAGAAACACCAAGGTCAGACCCACCCTGGAGAGGCTTACAGCTTGAGGGAGCTTGTCCACATCCTGCCTAAGTCCCACCCCTCTGAACACCAAAACAAAACAAAAAAACAAACCCATTGCCATCGAGTCAATTTTCTGACTCATAGCAACCATACAGGATGGAGTAGAACTGCCCCATAGGGTTTCAAAGGAGTAGCTGGTGGATTTGAACTGCCAACCTTTTGGTTTGCAGCCAAGCTCTTAACCACCATGCCACCAGGGCTCCTCTGAACATCCACCAGAAAAACCAAACCCATTGCCATTGAGTCAATTCTGACTCATAGTGACCCTCTGAATACCAGCGGGATGGATTTATCCTGTTTTGTAAGAGGGCACAGTGAACCCCTGCAACCTTCTCTCACTCCAGCTGGAATTTCAGCCCCAAGAGCATCCATCAGGCTGCCACAACCTTGAAGAATGGTCTGGAAACATGAAGAGACACATCAGAGTGAAAACAATAAAAACAGAAAACAAAGCCAAGGGCACAGAGCTTGTTTTTTGTGAGCTGATCACAGAAAGAGAACTTTGAATTTCTTTCTGATAAGTTTTACTCATACTGGAAGGAAGCAATGCAAGGCATATATGATGTTTAGTCAGGGAAAATACATCTTGCTACTGTCTCCCTTAGCTTTTTGTGCATGGTCTTGTTTTGCTGCAAGAAATCTTTTAAATTTCATGTAGTATGATTGGTGAGGTTGTTACTTAAAAATACGCTTGGACAGGCCTTTCACTCTTTTAATTCTGATGCAGACTTCTATTTTTTTCTTCTATTTATTTCATAGTATATTCTTAGGAAAATCAAGAATATATAGAACAGTGGCACTCCACCTTTAGTGTGCTAATTTACAGAAAAGCAGATTTAGTAGGTCTGGGGTATAGCCCAGGATTCTGCAGTTTTTAAGGTCAAGTTCAGAATTCTGCAGTTTTTACTAGAGAAACACTCGTATAATATAAAATGTTAATTTTAATGTTGAACATGGGGAAACAATTCCTCCCCCACTGTGTTCCTTTTGGAATTGCAAATTATACGTTCTAGAGAATCGAAAACACTTACTGAAGCTTACAGTCAATCAAGGACAGAAATGATTCAAGCAATCAAGGTTTCTGACTGCATCATAATTTGAAAAAAACATTAACACACATCTGTGTTTCTAGAATTAGCAGGATCAATAAAAGAGTCTTAGGTTTTGCAAAAGTAGTTTAATGGGGAAATAATTTCTGGTACATATATAATACTTTAATGTCTTACAAAGAACCTTGGCATGTTGGCATGTTACCGGTTGATATGGGGTGGGGTAGAAGTGGAATGTCCTAGGTTGAGCCTAAGCTTTATTCTCCTCTTTATACACATTGAACATGCCAGCAGAATTCATAAGGCATGCCTGTTAGAAGCCCCTTGGAGAGAATTCACCCTAAGGCAAGTTAGGCAATTAAAACCAGGTATCTTTGGAGATTTCTGGGGAGGGAGGTTCTAAGTCTCAGTACACTGCATTGTGTCTGGTACACAAATTTGTCTCCTAGCCCAGGCTCCAGTGGACTCATGTTTGAGTCCAATAGAGAAAAAGAAGGAAAAAAAATTGGAAACGACAATTTTGCTAATAAGACTTCTTTAAGACACTGATGTCCAAACAGCACTGGAATGGTATCCACCTGAGTAAGTGTCATATTAAAGCTGCAAGAGGCGCATTCTCCATGTTTCTGTAGGATACACGGTTCAATCACAAGGGACTCCAGTACAAACAGCGAGACGTTGCACCTTGAGGACTCCAGCACACTGACGGGGCCAGTGGAAGGAGCAAGACTCAACAGAAGGGGCTGCTATGCCTAGCAGACACCATAGCATTCAAAGGAAGAACGTAACACCAAAGGAACAGAATGTGGCACTCACCTGGAATCTCACAGGAATTGTTCGTGAGCACAAGTGAGACTTCCCTTGGGCACTATCCCCTATGTCTGAAGGGATCTATAGCAGCTGGGGTCCTGAATGTGCAGGTGGGGAAAAGAGACATACCTCACACAATCTTTATCTCATTTGGTTCCACAGAAGCCCTGCAGGGCAAGTTTTATTCCTATGTAACTGGGAAAAGACTGACCCTTAAACAAATGTAACAGGTACCTGGTTTATATTTTTACCTGAGATTCAGAAGAAACATGGGATTTACTTTTCTTTTGTTATGTTTTGACAAATATTTATTAAGTGCCATATTGTCTTCATAAGCTGACAGGTTTTTAAAAATTGCTTCACATTTTTTTCATTATATTAAAATTTTTTTTGCAACACAAGATGTGTTCATCTTGAAAAAACGAGAAACAAAATAAATAAAGTTTTAAAAATAAGAAATTCAGATAAAGCAAAAATTAAAAAAAAATCACCTATTATTTTATCACAGACAGCCACTGTTAAGCTTTTGATGTATATACTTTCAGTTTTCTTTGCATATTACTATATAAATATACATTTTTTAAATGGGATACTATATATACTTTTTGAAAGTTGCTTTTTTTCACTTCACAATACACAATGTACAACTTCATGCCAATGGGTGAAATTCATGACTGAGGGAGACTGGCAGATTATAAGGAAAAAAAAACAATTTTATGCCAGTCACAAGAGAAACACCTAAAATAAAGCCACACAAAAAGTTAAGAAGATGGCAAAGGTATACAAGGAAATGCAAAGTTCAGGCGGCAGTATTACCACCAGGCAAAACAGAACTCATGGCAGAACCCATTAAATAGGATAAGGACGGTTCCGTTTTGCCTTCCAGTGCATTATCAGCAGTTTGTTTCTTACTCTTTTCATCTCTTCCATCTCCTCTGCTACCTTTATCATCTCCTCATTGCTTAAATTCTTGCCATGTATCTCCCCTCTAAATTGCGGGCGAGAACGAGCCAGCCTCTCCTTAAAACTTCCTTCTTCTAGTTTATGTTTTCCTACTCCACAAGGAGGCTGCTCCATGGGAGGACGCTCCTCAAAAAGGTACTTCCTGGAAAGTCGCTCCTGGGGGCGCTCCTCCGAAAGGAGCATCTCAGGAAGGAGCTCGGGAAGGAGTTCCTCAGGAAAGAACTCCTCCTCCTCCGAGGACTGCTCTTCCGAAGACAGCTCCTCCTCCTCCTCCTCGTCTTCCTTGGGAGAGTGCTTTTCGGGAGGGTGCTCTACCGGAGGCGGTTCCTCAGTGGTCTTCGGCGCGCTCTGTGGCTCTTCTTCATTTTCTTTGCATGGTTTTTCCATGTTGAGAGTGTTCTTCTTTAAGCACAGTTATTCTGAGAAGAAAGGGAGAGTAGTACAGTCAGAATACTTGGTGGATGGGCCAACACCCCAGCCATGGGTTCCAATACCCGCCTTTTCTTGATTTGGGGCCCAGGTCTCCTTCAACCTATGCTTACCGAGAGGCTCTCGGGCTCTCCTGAGCCCGCCGCATCTCTTCCAGTCCCTCCGGGTCACCCCTTCCTCCCTTTCTTCCCGAAATCCCACCATTTTCCCAGCAGGCTTTGCCACAGGCCGCGGCCGCCGCTGTGAGAGGGGCGGGGCGGCGGGGCCTGCAGACTGCGTTCCGTTCAGCGCCATCTCTGGTACCTCCGGCCCAGTCCACTGCCTACCGTTTCCCCACCTGGATCTCTCCTAGCGGTTTGCTCCTGGTTGTCTTCTCCTAGAGGCGCCCCGCTGTGACCTGCGGACCGAGACGCGAGACAGGGTAGGGGCGGGGGCGGGGAGGCGGGACAGCCTGGCTGACACGCCCCTTTTCTGGGCCGACTCCACCGCCCCTACGCCGGCGTCTCCGCCTTCTAGGTCTCCTCCCCTCACATAAACCCCGTATCAAGCCTCCGTCTCCTAGCCCCACCTCACCCGACCGCGCGACGTTGTTTTGCTTTCCAGGCGGAAAGTGGAAGAAGCAGAGAAATACTTAGAAACTTTTTCTAAATGTGTCTCTTTCCCAGGGCCTCACTCACTTGCCCGCCCACCGCGAAATTTTCTGCACCGAAATGTGGGCGCGAGAGGGCGGGACTGAGGCGTAGGGAAAAGGCCGGGAATCTCTGTCATCCCGATCCCAGGGGTTACTAGGCAGCAACGACCCTCACACTGATTTAAGGGGATCAAGGGAACTTACTTCCTTCTGCTTTCCCCCTCGACCAAAAGGCAACAGGGAGATTGGTGTCTGGACAGGCAAAAAGGACCAGGACAAGAGGGACTTGAGCCGACATAAGCTCCCGGTCACGTGAGGGTCGCGCGTCACTGCCCGAGCTCAGATCCCCAGTTACCACTTTGACCAGCGACCATGCTGCAGCAGCCAGCCAACTCCCTTTCTCAGCCACCAAGGCCCGCTATTTCCCTTGCAGTCCAGATGCTGCACTTTAATGAATCAATAGCATATCCCGTTTCTCTTCTTTTAATCCACATCCATAAGTCCATCATGTCCACGTTGCCTGGTGAAAACCCCAGGTTCTGCTCGGCGTGACTTGTTACAGCCAGTAAACAATAGGCGGAGGTGGGAGATCAGAAAGACGCCTTTATTTTGTTCTGCAAGGAAAGGAGCAATTCGGGGCTACAGCCTCCAAGACTGCTCCCAGGCAGCTTGGGGAGGTGGGCTTTTACAGAGAGCAGAAAAGGAAATGCAAATTCATCATGAATATTCAGGATTGACCTTCACGCAGGTGCTCAGAGCTTGGCGATGACTATGCATTTTCTTTAGACAAGGGTTTAAAGGTTGATTTTCCTTCATTAGGATATTAAGTCTCCACCCAGAGGTGGGTTGAGGCCATCTACGGCCCCTTCTGTGGTTATCTTGTCAAGAACAATTTCAGAAGAAAGTGCAGCTTATTCTGCTCGGTGTAGGAGGATAAGCCAGAGCAGGTGTCTCTTAGAAGGGTTAGGCTTTCAGGCTGCCTGCCTCATCCATGTAGGTGCTATCAAAATGTTTTCACATCTTCTTGCCACTTTCATGGGAACAGTCTTTCACATTTCCTTGACATCTATATTTTGGTTTTATGAGCCCCCAGACCTATATCACAAATAGAAGCTCCCGTCTATTTTAGATACAGAAGCAATTTGTTGTGTTTAAAAATATACTCTAATGAAAAAGGACCCCAGAAAGAGTTAAGTATGTAAGTCTATAAAGATGGAATACTTTAATTTTCATAAGTCAAGATGTACTTTTGTCCATCTAGGTACAACTAGTCCAGAAAACCCATTTATTATCTGAAATGGGAGAAGTCTTGGTGGAGAGTATAGCATTATTATAAAACAAACAAACTATTAAGTAGTTATTATTCATAACTGAAGAAATTTTGCTAGGACTCTCAATTCTTAACTAGCCACCTCTTGGTGCTGCTGGTTGAGAAAGATTATATTAATTCATTAAATCAACAAATATTTGTTGGGTTCAGCAGTCCCAGGACCCAAAAATATAAATGCAGCCCAGAAGACATTCACTATTAAACTATATAATGATTCTGTTGACCACACACTGAGTACCAGCTGCTGTTGAGTTGATTCCTACTCATGGTGACCCCATGTGTGTCAGCGTGGAACTGTGTTCTGTAGGGTTTTCAATGACTGATTTTTCAGAAGTAGATCTCCAGGCTTTTCTTCTGAGCCACCTTTGGGTGAACTCTGCCAACCTTTGAGTTAGCAGCCAAGCATGTAAACAATTTGCACCACCCAGGGTTGCTATACACTGAGTAGCAGGATTAAAATTATGCTAACATACTCAGTTGTCATTGCAAGTATATATTTTTTGATCTAATAGTGTTTTATGATCTTTGACCTCATCTAGTACTCACAACAGCCTGGGTACTACTTTCTCATGCAGATGTCTTTTCCTCCAGAGAGCAAACTACCTCTCCTCCCCTCTCTATGAGGATCCTGGGGTTGTTTTATTTTTTTCAAACCCAGGCTGTCTAGGAAGTTTCCAAACAAATTCATATGTGAAATTTCCCATTATAATAACATTTTGTTGCTTTTCTCTGACATCTTATTTACTTTGTGTTGAGATAGCAGCTAGACAGATAAGTAGTCCACCTTTATATCTTTTCCATAACTGTTTTACTTTTAAATTTTCCAGTGATGTGTATCTGTAAAGCCAAGTTTCACTATGCCTTCTTTATTCTTTCACCAAGGATTGGCTTTGCACTTTTATGGTTTCTTTCCAAGAGGAGTCCCATTTTATTCATTTATTCATTTCTGTCCTTTTTTTCCCTTACATCCTGTGATGGAGAACTAACTACCTTCTAAGACATCCCATTGAAATTTCAGGCAATTCTAATCATTCAAAATTCCCCACCCCCACTTCTGTTGAGCTGAAATCTGCCTCCCAGTAGATTATATACATTGGTCCTGGTTCTGCCCTCTAGAATGGTAAAGAACAAGTTTAAAATAACAAAAATGCCCTTTATCCTTGATAGTCTGATACTGCCAGGGTTTATGTCCTGGTTCTGGCCCCTTCCCATCTGTGAGACACACTGGGAAATCTACTTTCTCTGACTCAGTTTCCTCATCTACAAAATTGAAGACAATAATAGTACCTGCCTCATAGGATTGGTCCAAGGAGTAAATGAGACAATACGTATAGTAAAGGATCTGGAATAGTGCCCAGTACATAGAAAGCACTCTATAAGCATTAACTGTAATAATAATAATATGACACAGAACTAATAATACTACTAATTATCATTCTTTTATTACTAACATTAATTGAGCACTCAGGGCAGGCATTTTGCTAAGCAATTTCCATATGCTATCTCATGTAATCCTTAAACAGTTATATTCTCACCAAGACTTACTTTTCTGAGGTTTAACCTTCCCAGTTATTTTAGCTATTTCTGACTCATACATTTTTTCCAGGTTACCCACCACCTTACATGCTCCTGAATTTATAAATGGCTTTGAGAATACTGAATATTCTGCCTAGTGTAGAATATTATCAGCCTGTTCGTCCTAGAAGAGACACTATAGATCTATTGCTACATCCTAAGAGCATAGTAGATTTTGTGGATGCCATATCACACAGTTGAATCCAGTTTAAATTACAGCCAGCTGAGACCCCAAATCTTTGTTTCATACATCCAACTGTTAATGCATGTCTGTAATTCATTTTAATTCATCTTAATTTTAACCCAAGTACAGAAGCTTCTATTTTTCTGAGTTAAATGTCATCTTGTTAGATTCACTCCCTCATTCTTTGAATCCAGATGCTGTCATTCAGTATATTAGCTACAAAATATTAGTTTAAAGCATGCCATTAATACCAAATAGGATGATAGAGTCAGCAGGCTTAGGAAGGATCTAGGGGGATGTCTTAGTCATCTAGTGCTGCTGTAACAGAAATACCACAGGTGGACAGCTTTAACAAACAGAAATTTATTCTCTCGGTCTAGCAGGCTAGAAGTCCAAATTCAGGGTGCCAGCTCCAGGGGATGGCTTTCTCTTCTCTCTGTCGGTTCTGGAGGAAGCTCCTTGTCATCAATCTTCCCTTAGACTAGGAGCTTCTCCGCACAGGAACCTCAGGTCCAAAGGATGCACTCTGCTCCTGACACTGCTTTCTTGGTAGTATGAGGTCCCCCATGTCTCTCTGCTCACTTCTCTCTTTTATATCTCTAAAGAGATTGGCTTAAGGTAGAATCTAATCTTGTAGATCTCATCAATATAACTGCCACTTATCCATCTCATTGACATCATAGTGATAGGATTTACAACACATAGGAAAATCACATCAGGTGACAAAATAGTGGACAATCACACAATACTGGGAATCATGGCATAGCCAAGTGGACAGATATTTTGGGGGGAACTTATACCACCAAGAAAGCAGTGCCAGGAACAGAGCGTGTCCTTTGGACCCAGGGTTCCTGCGCAGAGAAGCTCCTAGTCCAGGGTAAGATTGATGAAAAGGACCTTCCTCCAGAGCCAACAGAGAAAGCTTTACCCTGGAGCTGACGCCCTGAATTTGGACTTCTAGCCTACTAGACTGTGAGAGAATAAACTTCTATTTGTTAAAGCCATCCACTGGTGGTATTTGTGTTACAGCAGCACTAGATAACTAAGACAGGGGGAATCACAGCAGAGAGTTCTGACTCCGAGTGAAATAATTCCTTTCCCCTGTTGAGGTGGCAGCCAGAGCTGTGCTCTGCCAGGCCAGTTCCCCCTCCTCTCCCCTTTCAGTGTGGCTTCTTGCGGGGAGGGGGAAATTGTTATTTAGTGCTGCTGAAAGGAGACAAAATTGCCCCTGAGACCTTCCAAACCAGTAGAAACTAACCTTTGATGAGAACTTAGTAAATAGGAAGGCAGACAAGGGAGGTGTGAGGTATTAGAAGTAGGATAGGGACAACGAAGACAGTGTCTCTGTAGTGGCTCTAAGTCTCTGCCTGGCTCCCTTAAGAGAACAGGCTCCCAAGAGAGAATAAGAAGGTAGTTCTTCCATGGTGACTACCATTTATTGCAAAGATATGTGGTCTGCTGCTTTTCTTTGTGTAGTTGGGGAGGTGAAACAATCCTTCTGATGGAATTTAATTTGATGCTGGTGATTTTT